CTACATCTATTGCCCAGTGGATCATTGATGCTTTAACCAACTCATCTTTTGTTTCCCATTCCAATAATAATTTGTATATTTTAGACAAGCATTTTTCCTTATTCAGCAGTAGCTCTTTTTTTCAAATTGCGAGCTTTGGTCCAAAACCCCCCAAAATATTTTCCCCACCTCTATTCCTTTAATTTTCCTATTTCCCCTTCTATTATGTAATAATATTTCCAGCGTCAAAATTAACAACAGTGGGGATAATAGGCAGCCTTGTCTAGGCCTTTTACTTATTGGGCATTTGTCTGAGAGATTGTTATTTACTAATATATTTGCAGATAGTTCAGTATAAATTGTTTTAATTCCTGCTAGGAAAGAGTCACCAATCTCCATCCTCTCTAGGACCTTATTATGAAAGGCTTTCTCAGCATCTAAAAAAATTTATGCTGCTTGTTTTTCATTTCTTACTTCCAGATATTCAATCAAATTAATTACATTCTTTATGTTATTTTTCAGTTGACGTCCTGGAAGGAAACCTGTTTGGTCTCTGTGAATACATTTGCTTAAAACTCTTTTCAACCCAGTGCTTTTTTTCTGGGGGGGACACAGGGGTACGCACACCCCTAAACATTTTGTGAATCTTTGTACTTTTGTCCATTTACTGTATTGATTTTTCCTGATTTGAACTATAAAATGGTGATTTTCTTGAGTCAAAATGAGAGTACCTCTAACCATTTTTTAAGAAAAAAAGCACTGAGTGTACCCCATGGCAAGTGTGTATAGGATTGTAGCCCTAAAGGAGTGAATGCATTTAACCCGATGTGTTTCAAAGTAGCAACTGCACTGTTTCAATCTATTATCTAAAATTGCAGCAAATACCTGTAGTTTATAGTCACAATTAAGTAAAGAAATCAGTCTATAGTTCTTAGTCCTCATTAAATCGCAGTCTTGTTTCAGAATCAGGGTGATAAATGCATTTTTCCATGATTCAGGCACCTCTCCTGTCACCAAAATTCTATTCATAGTGCCCTTAAGTGGTTCAATTAATGCATTTTGATTTTTTATATATATAATAAATTGCAGAAATTCCATCTGGATCAGATGCATGACCTGTTTTCATTCGGCTAAATTTCCAGCTGCTGTTCCAACATTGATATGGGTGCATTTAAAGTTTTCCTTAGCAACTTTGGATATATTGCAATTATTCAAATAAGTTTCCATTTTCTCTGGTTCTCCCTTCTCACGCCGATATAATGCTGTGTAGAATTTTAGAAAGGCTTTTCCTATCTCTTTCGAATTTGTTAAATGTTTCCCTTTGTCAATAACCTTGTTTATGATCTTGTCCTTCCTTTCAACTGCTGATATCATGGTGCCATTTTGCAAATCTGTGGTGCAACCACATTAGGAGTACCGTGTGTACAGTTCTGGTTGCCTCACCTCAGAAAGGATATTGCAGAGTTGGAAAAGTTTCAAAAAAGGGCAAGCAAAATTATTTAAGGGGATGGAGCAACTCACCTATTGTGGGATGTGACACACAAGTAGCAGTCAAGTACAACATTTGCCTAGAGTGAACATGCAAAGGGGATGTTTGTTCCAGCCAGTCGAAAACTTCCTGTTTCCTCCTGGCCTGGAGCATCCTTCCTTTTGCATGTGACTGGAGGTGGGCGTGACTTTACCTGGCCAGGTAACACAAAAAGACAAGGTATGCAGCCATCTCTTCCTCTTCTTTGACTTCCTCTCTTCTTGGAGCAGCTTTTTAGGTAGAGGTGCCCTGTTGGCTTTCAGCCAACAGAGGACAAAAAGACTATCTCCATATGGGATAGACTCGCATATATCTATAACTGAGTCTGCCTTCAGGGATCCAACTGTGAACTGATGCTGTGAGTAAACTACTTTTATATATCTTAAATAAGATTGTGGTGTTTTTATTCTTTTAAGAGGGAAAACAAGGGATCTTACCAGGAATCTATATTGAGAAGCTTAAACAAGCTTGCAACCAGCTACCCGCTGTGCGTTTAAAGGGGAATGTTTAAAACTCTGCTAAGTTATAGAACTTGCTAGCGCAAGTTAGGAAGGATATTAATAAACAATATATCCTCTCCTGCCTCCCTGAACATTCCCACACCTGCGAGGAAAGGTAGAAGCATTTGGGACTCTTTAGTTTAAAGAAAAGGCGTGTCAGAGGCAACATGATAGAAGTGAATAAAGGAAATTCTCCCCGCTCTTTCATAACACTAGAACCCATTGACATCCCATGAGGCTGACCATTTGAGAATCCAGGAAGTGCTTCACACAGCGCCTAGTAAGATAAAACAAGCACTGACACATCGAAAAGAAAATAAGAAGCATTCCCCTGATAACAAGGTTGTTGCCAGATAAGCTTCTTTGGAGAGGGAATTCCATCTTTCTATACATTTTGAGAGCCAGTATGGCATAGCGTTAAAAATGCCAGACTGCAGCTAAGGAGGCACAGAAGACAGGCCCCTATTCCGAGGCATCCTCTCTTTCAGGTTGGGGGGGATTTGGTCCTCTAGATGTTGTTGAACTACAGCTCCCATCTGTCCCTTCAAGTATGAGCAATGGCCAGGGATGATGGGAGCTGTAGTTCAGCAGTCTCAGGAGGGCTAAAGGTTCTGCACACCAGCTCTGCTTCAATGTCTGGCTGTCTGGTCCAAGTTGCCCATCATTGCTTAACACCTAGACAGAAGACTGAGCAGGCACACAGGTCCTAAGGGCCACATTAGCTCCATGCATTTAAAGCACTATGGGCCTGGCTTCCCCAAGGAATTCTGGGAGCTGTAGTTCTCTAAGGGGCCTGAGAATTGCTAGGAAACCCCAATTCCCCTCAAAGAGCTACAATTCTCAGCTGCAATCCCTCTTCCCAGAGAACCCTGACAATTTTAGCTCTTTGAGGGGGTTAAAGGTAAAGTAAAGGGACCCCTGACCATTAGGTCCAGTCGTGACCGACTCTGGGGTTGCAGTGCTCATCTTGCTTTATTGGCCGAGGGAACTGGTGTTTGTCCACAGACAGCTTCCGGGTCATGTGGCCAGCATGACTAAGCCGCTTCTGGCAAACCAGAGCAGCGCACGGAAACGCCGTTTACCTTCCTGCCGGAGCGGTTCCTATTTATCTATTTGCACTTTGACATGCTTTCAAACTGCTAGGTTGGCAGGAGCAGGGACCGAGCAACGGGAGCTCACCCCGTCGCGGGGATTTGAACCACCAACCTTCTGATCGGGAAGCCCTAGGCTCTGTGGTTTAACCCACAGCGCCACCCGTGTCCCTTGAGGAGGTTAGGGGTCTCTAAAACAGCTCCCAGCACCCTTAACCAAGGAAACCTCCCAGAATTCTTAGGGGGAAGCCATGACTGCCTAAATGGTATCGTTGTCCCTTAAAAGCATGTTGTGTCGCCGTCTTCTCCACTGTGGCAAAATATATTTCTATCCAGATTACAGTCATTACTTCTAAATTTGCATGTGTGCATCGATTTAGCATATGCAAATTGTTGTCCTCTTTGGGGTGATATGTTTCCTTTGTTGCTGTTGATGATGATGATGTATAAAGTGACTGCCTTTGAGAAGGACCCTGTATACTGCCTTGAGGAAAGGTAGGATATGAATGTAATAAAGAGAGACAGCGAATCCGGTTCTCCCCCTCCCCCTCCCGTTTTAAGATGGCTGCAAAAAGTATAGATTGCCTCCAGCTCTCTTTTACAGAGCAGGAGAGTGCCAGGCTTACATCCTCGGAGGATTTCTCCCTCTTTCTTTCCAGAGAGATAGTTCACGGCCTTGCTTTCATACCACGGTAAGGTCTTCGCTTCCCTGAATGCTCTGTTTTTGAAGTGAGGCAACCTGTCTTAACTCAGGCGGTCTTCTTCATCATGTAGACAGATCCACCCGAGTAAAAAGAAGGAAAGGGTAAAGAGGAGTGGATGTGGCAGAATGCCTTCCTTGGCAATAAAAGCATGAGGGAGTAATACAACGCAAAGATTCCAACCTGTCCTTCATTACTATCTATCTTCCTTTTTCAAAATAGTCATTACTCGCCGTCTGGCAGAGAACTTAACGGCCCCTGCAGTGAGACAAGGCCTGGGAGTTACAGACAAGGCACAAACCCAAGACGAGAGACCATTTATCTTCTGAAGTTCTGCTAAATGGATCAGGCAGACAAAGCCAAGGGAATGAAGGCCGTTACCTGTCCAATATGGGAGCAAAGCTGTACTTTAACCAACACCGAGCATTCGCTCCAGCTGTTGAATCAAGGACCCTGGATGAGAGGGGAAGGAGGGGGCTAAAGGTCACACACGTATCCCAGAATGCCCAGGTGTAGCCGAATTCCCTCCAAGATAACCAGACATAGACAAACAGTGTTATGTACTGAGTTGAATAGGATCCAAAATGAGCAGTCTGATTGGTCCCAGAACAATAGGATCCAGAATGCAGCAGTCTGATTGGTCCGCAGGAGCCACCCAATCCAACTCCAGGTGGAAGTGAATCCACAACCTGAATGGCCTACAGGAGAAGCCCGGAATTAGCCAATCACGTGGGGCCCATTTTGTAAATAATGTATATAAAGCAGACATTTCGGGGGAACTGGCATTCCTCACTACTATGAGCTGAATAAAGAGCATGAAATCCACACTTGACTCTGAGTATATTTCACTGGCGATGAGGATGGGATTCTGCTGAGCTGACCGCCACACACAGCACCGCAGCAAAAAAAACCCTACTGTTTTGGTCAAGGAAAATTGATAAAGAAGAGGAAGAGGTGCAGCCAGTTTTCTAGGACTTGGCAACTACGGTAACTGTGGAGCTTCACTATGGAGAGCGAGGCAAGCTGAGAGCTGATGTTTGGAGAAAGGAGGGAGACAGAGTTGAGGTTGAGAGGGCAGTGGCGAAGCCCTGCCTGGTGAACTTTGCGTTCATTCGACATTCTATAATATTCATGAAGTTGTGCATTTTCAATGCTATCTCCAGGTAGGCGTTTCATAGAATCATAGAACTGGAAGAGTCTTTGTCCCACCATGGGGTTCAAACCCATAAACCTGAGATTAAGAGTCTTATTATGCTTTACCAGCTGAGCAATCCAGGTTGTTGGTGAACCCACTGGTGAAGTGTCCTGTCCTGAACCCTGGCAAGTCACTGCCGGTTGACAAGGCAATCCTGAACTGTGACGGGTCCATGGTCCGACTCAGGATGGAGCACTTCCTACCTTCAGAGATTCTTATCTCTATGTGGGAAAAATGTAACCAGCAAAGCAGCAAGTAGCCTCAGGATGTTTGCTTTTCCAGGTCACTGGTGGGGACGGCAACCTCTTGCTGACTCTCTTTTAAAGGCCTGGAGTGTTTAATGATCAAATTAGCGGTCTCGTTTGTCTGACACATACCGGGGCTGGTACCTTGGAGGCATTTACTTTGTAACATGACCTGTGGCTTTGCCATTCAGAACTGTCACCCAACCCTAATCGTACACGGAAACACCCCAGGGGACACGGTTCAGCTTTCAGCAGCTTCAGTTGAAAAACAGTCAAAAGCAACTCCCATACATACATCTTAACACACACACACACACACACACACACACACACACACACACTCATACACTCATACATGTAAATTGAGCATCCTGCATTTTCAGACTTGAGCCCTCAGAATGCTGATACCCCAAGGACAGATTCAAACGTTTAAGGGACACCCAATGCACTTTTAAAGCATTTGCCTACTGCTATTTATAAAAAGAAATATTGACGTGGTTTACAGCAAACTTACCTTGACATGAAGGGCAGGATCACTGTTTGCTGTTCTGCCCCTGGACCTACATCAGGGTTTCCCAAACGTGGGTCCCCAGCTGTTGTTGGACTGCAAGTCCCATTGTTATAAGAATTTATAAAATATATAAAAAAATTAAATGTTCATAACTGTATATATAAACCACATGTCTGAAACCCCACAGATTAGGTCCTGAACAAATTGACCTCAAATATTTCTCTGCAAGGTCAAAGTGGGAAACCTCCCCATTGTCTCTTTCCTCACAAATCCTGTCTTAAGGGCACATTCAAGATATGAACAGGGCCTGTGACCTAGATTCAGGAATTAAGTAGTTATAATAACAAAAGAGTGGCCAAAATCCAGATAATGCAATCAGGTAACTTGCCAGACAGGAGATAAACAACGTACTCAGATTTCTGTTGTAGACTGCCTTTTCTGTGATATACGTATGATGTATCTGGGGGTGGTCTTGGGCTACACCCCTTCTGTGATGTATGTATGATGTTTCTGGGGGTGGTCTTGGACTCCAGGGCGGGCAATTTAAAATGTCTATATAAGGGCTTGCACACCATTGTTCTGGGTTCCTCCTCCCTCCTATGTGTGGTGAGTGAGGACCCTGTTGCAACAGTTAATCAAGATCAGGCTTACTAGCTGCTTTGCTTCTCAAAATTCTCTGGTTGGTCTCTGTTATTTTCGCCTACCGATAGAGAACCTACAAAAGGACTCTATATGGGCTCTTGGGTACCCTATAAGGGAAAAGGAGCAGGTTTTTTTTTACTTATATTACCATCATCCCTAGCTAGCAGGAGCAGTTGTCAGGGATGACGGGAACTGTAGTCCCATAGCAGCTGGAGACCCAAGTTTGGCAAACCCTGATCTAGAGCAACCTTCTCTAACCTAGTGCCCTCCACGGTGATTCTGTACAGCTCCTTATTGAGCCTCTTAGCGCTCCAGATCTGCTCTGCTCCTGTAGTAGGTATTGCTGATGTACACAAATGTAAGCTGGGCACTGGACTAAGCATTGCAATGACACAGTGACTTGTGATAACCCTATTCCCAGAGGGACCAAGCTCTCTGTACAAGCACAGACATAAGCAAATTCCGTTTATTAATTCTGCGGTCCCTAATAAACCAAGTACAACCATCTCTCTCTATCTCTAATATCTATCTATCTATCTATCTATCTATCTATCTATCTATCTAGTTAATATTTTGTGAAGTCAGGTCTGCTAGAGGCAACTATAAATCCCTTAATCTTTCACTAGGCCTAGATCTCCCCCGTTCTCCTTATAAGTGCCATGCAAATCCATATCTATTCAAGTCTGCTGTAGGCCAGACAAGGGGGAGAAATGCAGCATGCAAAGCTAATGAAGTGCGACTGCATTTTTGTCAACAGGTCCCGGCAGATTTTAGATATCTTCATTATTTACAGGGGAGTACAGTTTCATGCTTGAAACCACAGCCGCTTCATCAGTGAACTGCTTAGAAGGAGATGCAGCCGAGTTTCTATTTAACTGCTGAGTGATTCCCTCTCAGGGACGCGGGGGGCGCTGTGGGTTAAATCACAGAGCCTAGGACTTGCCAATCAGAAGGTTGGTGGTTCAAATCCCCACGACAGGGTGAGTTCCCGTTGTTCGGTCCCTGCTCCTGCCCACCTAGCAGTTCAAAAGCACATCAAAGTCAAGTAGATAAATAGGTACCACTCTGGCAGGAAGGTAAATGGCCTTTCCGTGCGCTGCTCTGGTTCTCCAGAAGCGGCTTAGTCATGCTGGCCACATGAGCCGGAAGCTGTACGCTGGCTCCCTTGGCCAGTAAAAGCAAGATGAGCGCCGCAACCCCAGAGACTGGACCTAATGGTCAGGGGTCCCTTTACCTTTTTAATTCCCTTTCACAAAAGAGAAATGAAACATATTGGGAACTATTCGTTAAAGTATGAGGGTTCTACCCCACTGGCCTTCCTGTTGCATTTTCCCTGATGCCTCCCCAGATTGACAAGCCCCATTTGCCCCTCACTTCCCTCTCTACCGAATGTGCAGAAACCGCCTTCTTGTCCGTTGGACCCACTATTGGTCTTGTCCACTCAGTCTGCTGGAGTTGTCTGTGTTTTATTTTGAATTATGGTGTTGGAGGAGATTCTTGAGAGTCCCATGGACTGCAAGAAGATCAAACCTATCCATTCTGAAGGAAATCAGCCCTGAGTGCTCACTGAAAGGACAGATTGTGAAGCTGAGACTCCAATACTTTGGCCACCTCATGAGAAGAGAAGACTCTCTGGAAAAGATCCTGATGTTGGGAAAGATGGAGGGCACAAGGAGAAGGGGATGACAGAGAACGAGATGGTTGGACAGTGTTCTTGAAGCTACCAGCATGAGTTTGACCAAACTGCAGGAGGCAGTGGAAGACAGGAGTGCCTGGCATGCTCAGGTCCATGGGGTCACGAAGAGTCGGACACGACTAAACGACTAAACAACAACAACAAGATACATATGCATGTTGGGTAATCTGTGAACACGGATTAAAAACACCTTGCAGGAAATGCACAGGAACATGAACACAGCCTTCATGCAGACAGTCCTAGATGGATCTCTGACTTGGTGTTAGACAAGTTCCTAGTTAGCCATAGAATTATATCATTAAGAGTTTTTCTCTTGCAATTGAAAAGGCGAAAAAAAACAAAAACTCTATGGATTAAGTGTCCCCTGGGCTTTAAAGCTGTCGTTGTTGTTGCCTGCCTAATTGCAGGCTGGATAATTGGTGCATCGTGTGAAATATTACTAAAATCGTAGTCCTTAATGGGCTTAAAGTCAACAAAGGTTGGGCTATTGCATGGGCTTGATTGAACTGAATTCCAGTTTCCTACAAATATTGGATTACAAACCAAGTTATAGTGCCTTAGCCAGTGCATTAGGAATAATTAAGAATAATGCAAGCAGCATGCATCCTTCGACCTCTCCTCTTTGGTCAGGCAGACATTTAAACAGTGGCTGTTTTCTTTGGTCACTACAAGAAATGCAATCATATTAAATTTGCTACTGGCTAAATGTAAGCTGAATTACTGCATTTGAAGATGGTTCTTCATATACAGTGGTACCTCAGGTTACGGACGCTTCAGGTTACAGACTCCACTAACCCAGAAATAGTACCTCAGGTTAAGAACTTTACCTCAGGATGAGAACAGAAATCATGCGGTGGCGGCACGGCAGCAATGGGTGGCCCCATTAGCTAAAGTGGTACTTCAGGTTAAGAACGGACCTCCAGAACGAATTAAGTTCTTAACCCGAGGTACCACTGTACACACTTTGATTAAGGATACTGGAGTTCTTTTTTTAGTCAGAAATCTAGAAATATTAAAGTGTGAATGTGACAAACAGGCATTCAGCAGTGAGTATATCCTATAGGTATACAGCTATGCCTGTCAGGGAACTGGTGCTTGTGGGTCCAACTGGGCATGCTCCATCTAAGTGGGAAACCTGGGTGAATTGCTGCACTATGTGAGAGATTGCTCTCTAGGAAGTAGGAAGTAAAATGTCTTGTTCGACACTCCTAAAGCTAGTATGCATGAGGAGCTAATGAACTAGCCCAGGGCGGGAAATGTTGTGCAGAGGGGGGTACCGGTAATATGTGTATATGGTTGCACAACACCAGTAGCCAGTCTTTAGAGAACTGTCTGTGTATTCAGTGAATGCATGAGTGGAGAAAAGGACTCCATGCACTAGTCATGTGTCTGTCATGTAGCCACCAGGGAGCCAGCAGGTGTGTGAGCAATGGGGGAAAGATGGCTACCAGACACAATCTCACTTTCCCCACACTCGCACATTTGTCGACCACATGTACACCATACATTTAAAACACTATGATACCACTATAAACAGCCTTGGCTTCCCTCAGAGAATTCTGGGAGCTGCAGTTTGTTAAGGATGCTGAGAGTCCTTAGGAGACTTTAGGGGAGCTAAAATTCCCTGTGAAGGAGCATGGATTGTTAACTACCTTGGGAACGACAGCTGGATCTCCTTGGGCCAGTCACTGGCTCTCAGCCTACCTCACAGTGTTGTTGTGAGGAGAAAAAGCTACCCGGACCTCCTCAGAGGAAAGGTAAATATAAAGGCAACAATAAATAAAATCATCACCATTTTATAAAATTTTAAACCTATGATCAGCACTTGCCAGTAATCCCAGTGCCTTTGTATTTGTTGGCCAGAAGGTGGGAAGGCAGTAGCAATGCCAGTTTGACTTAGCCATTGGACAGAACAGGTGTAATCAACATGATTCCCTCCAGATGTTGCTGGACTCCAACTCCCATCATTCCTGGCCACCTGGCCA